CCATTAAAGGCACAATTAGATGTATAAACACCAGTTTAACAAAAAAAAATTATAAAAAATTTTTATTAGCTTTAAGTTAGTTATATATTTAGGTATACTGTATGAAAATGTTTATTTTCTGTTTTATTGTACTAACAACTGTGATACTCTCATTAATATAAAAACTATTCTTATTCTATAAAAAAGTTACCATTTTAATTTTGATAATGTAAATACATTAATGTATAACACCATGCAAATTTGATATCAGACTTAAAATGCTCAAAAAAATAAGCTATCTATCAAGATTATTAACTTAATTAAGCATTTGTATATTATGTAGTAATTAAGTCTTACATTGTTTGTTTGTTATATCAAAAAAAGAGTTATTGCTAGTATGCCCATTAAAAAAAAGCCCTAAACTGAACTTAGTTTTAAGGAAAATTTAAAAACTTTTTAATTATTATTATTTACGGAGTTTCCCAGATCCCATTCACCTAATGATTCGTAATTTATTTATTTGTAATTAATTTTTTAACAGCATTTTTTTTTTTTCTAATTACATTTATTCATCTAAATATTTTCATATAGCACTATATCAGAACACTTGCAAAATTCTTTAATATGCTCTGTTTTTTAAGTTCAATTTTTAGACATAATCTTATGGCAAAAGAATTGTTTATCTTTTTCCATTTTACTAATTTGGTTCAGAGGTTTAATGGGTGACTAAGGCTTTATTTCTGCCACCTGTATGGAGAGCCTAATCATAATTCTTTTTGTTCTTCCTGTTGATTACCAACAAGAAAAAAAAATTTACTTAATAATTTAAAGATATCCATTTCTCTTTATATATATATATATATATGTATGTATATATAGATATTATGGTGCTTTAAAAATCACTACTCAGTGTTAAAGTATTTTTTGTCTTAATCTATTTTTTGTCAGCATTTTTTGTGTTAATCTATTTTTAGATTCTAATTCAGAAAAGATTTATATAAAATTTCTCTTTATTTGAGTAATAAGTTGACTTTTTTAATGTAAACATTTTAGAGACCATTTAAACAATATTAGGGACCTGTTGAATAGAAAATGAGCTTAAGTATGAACTAAATATTGAACAATTAAACTTTAATTAGACTTGAAACTTCAAATTGTGTATCTGGGATTATTAAATCATTTCTTTCTAACTGCTTTATTATAATCATCGTCAAATGCCTACTTATTTATTTCCAGTAACTTCTGGAGTTAATCTCAAGGTTCTATTCTTGGTCTGTTTTGTTTCTAATTTACATTATTGATCTTCCTGACAACCCTACATCTATAGTAGCTCTTTTTGCTGATGACTAAAGTTTTTACTCCTGTCTTGACAAAAAGTCTTCTCTTTGTGATCACTTAGAATAGGCAGCTAATTTTGTATCTGATCTTACTTCTGTAACAGATTGGGGCTCACATATTTTAGCTTATAAATTTTATTTGTAACTAAACTCAGTTATTTACTGCAAACAACTACCACAATACTGTTGACATTCCTATATAAATTAATGGTAACCCTCTTACTTAGTCTTCTTTTTTCCATCTTCTTGGAATATTATTTGCTACTAACCTTTCATGTACACAAAATATACAATTGATTAGCATCCCTTTATCATTATCGTTGTTTTCTTGATTCCATTCTCTACCTCTACAAATATCTTTTTGTCCCTGTATAAAATGTTGTTGTCATATTTGGGCTGGTTCTTCTTATGATGCCTTTTTTCTTCTAAACAAGCTCTATCTGCTAAGCTTGAGCCTCTTTCCTATTGTCGTAAAGTTGCATCTCTTTCTCTTTCCTACAAATTCTATCATGGCGGCTGCTCAAAATAGTTATTACCTCTAGTTCCATTAACAAAAACTCATTCTCGACTCTTTATTATGCTAAGTCTCATTCATTAGTTGTTAAATTTTATTAAATATAATAAATGTAAATAAATGTTTATTGTGTCAATATACACTAAAAACAGTAAAGATAAAGTTGAGGAAGATAAAATTATCAAAGAAGTTTTTATACAAGACTGCTTCAACCGTGATAACCTTTAACCGTGTTAATATACCAAAACAAAAATTAATTCAGTAAATTTCAGTATTTATTGTCCTATTTAAATCAGAAATTAAAATATGAATTAAGATATTGCCATTAAAGTTAAATTTAGTAACTTAAACAATGAATTTTTGATTATTTCCCAAAAAAAAACAAAAAAAACGGACCCCTATCTTTTTTTTCCAAAAAAACGACCAAAAAAACAAGAACCAAAAAAACGCGTCACATCTCTATACATACATATATATATATATATATATATATATATATATATATATATATATATATATATATATATATATATATATATATATATATACATATATATATACATATATATATATACATATATATACATATATATATATATATATATATATATATATATATATATATATATATATATATATATATATATATATATATATATATATATTTATATATATATTTATATATATATATATATATATATATAAAATCGCAAAATCTGATATCTGCTAAAAAATTACAAGCATTTGATTTACAAGAAAATATTGAATAAGATTTAAATAAGATATAAAAGTATTTTATATCTTACTTTGCATTTCCAGATATCACATTTTGCGATCACTTAATTTAAGCCCTGGAGAGTTTAAACAGGAAAATCCTGTATCTGTACTCCTGTATTCATAGACTTGTCACAATTTTGATTTATTTGGTTATAATTTATTGCTAAATAAACTTAATTCATATGGAATAAATTGGAAAGAGCTTAGATAGTTTACACACACTATTTGTGTAAAATTTATGTGTGTAAAAATTATGAACAGGATTCTAATTATAGAAATTAGAAATACCAGATCAACTTATGAATCTATTTATAGTAGTGTATCTCAAAGATCGATCCTTAAGTTGCTCATAATATATTTTATAATGATTTAATAAAGAGTCTATCAAGTAACAGAATATTTTGATAATACTGTTGTGTATGTTGACAACAGAGCTACTAGAGTTGTTAAAATGTTCTTAGATATGAATACGGAGTTCTTTAAGAATTACTACATATCTAAGTAATAGCGTAAAAATATCTAAGTAATAGCGAAAATCTTTTTTTTTTCAAGGATATCGTTAATTTTACTTATTTACCTAGTTTAGTTTTACCCAAAGCTAAAGAGGTTTAAAATTGTTTACTCAGCAGAAAAATATACACACAGTCATGCAAAAAAAATAATAAAGGAAGCAAAGACCATTATCATGGCAATGCCATTTATTCAAAAGTTAATGAAAACTTTTTTCAGCTCTCTAAATTGTTATTAGATTTAAAAATCTTATTTTTGTTCGTTTTACTATTTAAAACTATCTACATTTTTACTGTTATTTTACTATATTAGGAACTTTGCATTATAAAGTTTTATATATTTATATATATATATATGTGTGTGTGTGTGTGTGTGTGTGTACATAAATATACATATACAGTAATGCACACTGGACTTTTAGATGTTTGAGTTTTGACACTTACAGGTATTGTGCAAACTCCAAACTTTTGTATGTTCATACTTATGTCAAATGAGAATGTTTTGCAAAGAGTTGCGGTGATAAAAGTTTGGGGACAAAAAAAGCATAATTTTTGGGCCCACCCAGCCCTTAACGTGGGAGTAACAAGTTGATAAAATAATTTTTTTAGTATTTTTCTCTAAGTTTATAATCATCAACAAATTTCAAATTTCACCCAATAATTTCTTATTTTTCGAAAATTATGACCATATAAAGTTTTAACCTCCTCAATTTGAGGGGGCTGTAAACTTTGTAGGGTCATAAAAACTAAAAACTAAGAGGTTATTGCATGAAATTTGAAATTTGTTGATGAATATAAACTTAGATAAAAATACTAAAGAAATTATTTTATCAACTTGTTGCTCCCACATTAAGGGCTAGGTGGGCCCGAAAATTGGGGGTTTTTTTGTCCCCAAGTTCCAATCACCACAACTTTTTGCAAAACATTCTCATTTGACATAAGTATGAACATACAAAAGTTTGGAGTTTGCAAAATGTGTATAAGTGTCAAAACTCAAACATCTAAAAATCCTGTGTACACCACTGATATATATATATATATATATATATATATATCATACGTCAGAATGCACTTTTTTTTGCGTATTGAGTATAAAACTCACATTATACTCAATATGCAACTCAACATATGCATTTTTTTTGAGTATAATACTCAGTAAGCATCTTATACCTATTTTTTTTTAATGTTAAATAGAATTTTGTCTTTGAAGTAATTTATATTTTTGTTTTATTGAATTTCAAACAGAAATAATATTTATTAAAAAGAATAAAAAATCAGTTAGAGTTTTCAAAAATGTACTTTTAATTCATAACTAAAAAAACAACCATTAATTCCCTAGCGATGTTTTTAATATTTTTCAAAACTTCAAAATAGCTGAATGTTTAAAAAGAACAAGATTTAAACAGTTCAGCATCTAAATTTTTATTTTTTTATTTTTGATATATTTTTTTAGTTTTCTACTGTAATTATTAATATTAATTTTTTAAATTTGTTATATTGGCTAAAGCTTTTTTCATTAAAGTTTAAGTATATTTTAGCTTAAGAAATAAAGTGAAATATTAACTATGGTACAAATAAATGAAGTGTGTAATGATACAAATAAATACTTTGATATCAATAAAGTTTGTAATGATGGAGTTTTATATATATATATATATATATATATATATATATATATGTATATATATATATATATATATATATATATATATATATATATATACATATACATATACATATACATATATATATATATATATATATATATATATATATATATATATATATATATATATATATATATATATATATATATATATATATATATATATATATATATATAATTTAAGTTTAATATTTTAATAGCTCTATGTTTTTAAATAGGAAGAGAATGAAATAGTACGTGTAGTTGGAGACTGTACTACAAAGAAAAAGTTTTCTCATGTTGACTTACTTGCAATGATTGATGGAGTTGATTATGAAAGAGGTGCTAATGTAGCTGGCAATAGAGGATATTTTTTAAAAGTAATTTTGGAATTCAATACTAACTTTAATTGTTTTAAATTTTTTTTTTTATTATTATTTTTTTTTTTTCTTTATTTTATTAGGGTCCAGGAGTTTTATTGCAGCAAGCTTTAATCAATCTTGCTTTACAAACTTTAGTGGGAAGTGGATATACGCCTATTTATACACCTTTTTTTATGAGGAAAGAAGTTATGCAAGAGGTTGCACAATTGAGCCAGTTTGATGAGGAGCTTTATAAGGTAATGAACTCTTCAAAATTTTAAACTCAATTATCACAAGAACTTATAGAATAATTTTGTATTATATAATAATGCTCGAACCAATACAGGAATGATTTTAAAAAAACTGTTAAAAAATTACTTTTTAGTTACCTAAATTTTTATTTTAAAAATGTTTTTTTTTTAATGCGACAAATTTAAAACAAATGTTTACAACAAACATCTTGTTTACAAACCACAGCTCTGGACATCTATGAATATTTATTTAAAGTAAACGTCACATATAATTATTCAACTTTAAACTGTTGTGAACTGTCAAAAATTTAATTTAGGTTTTTTTTTATTAAGTACAAGATAACAAATTGATTAATAATAAGTTGTGCTGCACAGTTGAGTCCAGATGAGAATGAAGTGCTCTCTAACTTAGCAAAAATAGTTCATTTTTTTTAGTTGGCTAGAGATACTTGATGTAGCCAAACTTTGATTAGAAACTACATTAATAGTCCTCAAACATCAGGATGTCTGCCAGATCAGTGAAATCAGAAAAAACAGATAAAAGTCATGGAATTCAGATACCTGCAAAAAAAAGCAGGGAAATCAGGTTGAATTTTGGAAAATTCAGGGAGTTATCAGGAAAAAATGGGTTGTCGTCAAACTTATGTGATTTTTGTAAGTTGTATATGTGTGTAATATAAAATTTTATTCATCAGATACTTTATATGTGTATTATATGAATGTTTATATTTTTGCAATTGAAGAGCGTTTTTTAAAAGGATTCAAAGGTCTATTTTTCTGAAATTGAGTTAAGGTAATTATAAATTAGGTCAGGAAAAGCAGGTAGTAAGTTATGGAAATATCAAGGCAAATTCAGGCAAATCATTATTAAAATATTGGCAGACACCCTGTACATATGTAATATTAAAAAGTTCTGTATATCTATCAATATTAAGTGACCATGATAAGCAAAAGCTGTTGTAGCAAGCCTCAAATTCTTCATTAACCAAACCTTAAATTGCATGCTGAAGCAGGTGTGGCTGCTAGTTTAAGTAAAATTCAGCAAGGTATTTATGTTGCTTTTCACCACAAAAACTCCTCATTGACAATGAAACACCTAAATGATCAATTAACTTTTGCAAAGAACCACTCAACATAGAAAAAAGTGTGCAACAAGTGGTACTTTCTGACTAAAAATAAATTTGTATTGATAAAAATAAATTTGTATTGAAGAAACTTTTTTCTTTTGTTGCAAGGCAAATGCTCTTGAATAAAATTTAAAAAGCAAGTATTTTTAAGACAAACGAAAAAATTCAATTCAAAGTATGTATATAAATACATTTTTTTATGTGAGCTTTTTAATTAATCAAGTTTTGTCTTTAACAAGAACATTTTTATCAAAAAATTAAGTAAATGAGTAATAGTTTCTCCCTTCCAAATTCTTGAGACAAGTGCAATTTTATAATTAACTAGCATTGTTTGTTTGTGCTAAATACAAAAAATATTAAATATTATTTTTTGAATGGTTTTAATCTGAGAAGAAATTATTAAATGTCTATCATTTTTCAAACAGAAGTAATACACTTTTTGTTGACGTTTTTTCATTTAAATTATTAGTTTTTCTTTAAAAAAAACATGTTATGTGTAGGTTGTTGGAAAAGGTAGCGAGCGTGATGATGACACTGCAGTGGAAGAAAAGTATTTAATTGCAACAAGTGAACAACCCATTGCTGCATTTCATCGTGGTGAGTGGATGAGCACTAGTGATCTTCCTAAAAAATATGCTGGTATATCTTCATGTTTTCGGCAAGAGGTTGGTTGTCATGGAAGAGATACACGTGGTATATTTCGTGTACATCAATTTGAAAAAGTAAGCTTTACAAACATTTTTTTCAGATAGTTTTATAAACATTTTTTTAGCTTAATAGTTTAGCTGTTAAGGTTTAGATAGAGAGTTTTCCAATATTTGACTGTTTGATCCACGACACTAAAAGGTTTGATTTTCCATAAAGGTGACATCAGTGAGAAAAGTGGGCGTAACATCTTGATGTCAAATTAATCAAAAGCAGCTTTTTCTCTTAAACTGGCCTAAATTATCAATTTTATGAAAGAGTTCAAAATTTATGAATTTATTAAATTGAAGTGTTAAATACTTCTTGAGAAAAAAGAAAATTAATAAATAGATAAAAGTACTTAATGGTCTGAGAAAAATTCATATTTTTAAATTTGCTTTGTAACATATGCTTACAAGTTTATATGTATGATAAACCAAATGTTGATAACTATCTATAAACCAAATGTTGATAACTATCTATAAATCTAATTTCTTTATTCAACTATTTAACTCTTTTTTAATAAAAAAAATTTAAAAATCTTCCAAAAGTTAGTATATTAACTGAAATTTAAAAATACAATGTGTAACTGGTGTTATTTACAAATTAGAAAATAGTAAAATAAAAACTAACCTTAAAATTTCTTTGAAGTTTGATTAATATAATCTTAAAATTAAAAAACACTAAATCTTCAAAAAGAATTAGCATATACAAACAAACTAATAGAATATTCAAACAAACTTGACATTTAATTAAAAAAAAAAAATTACAACATTTTCTAGTTAAAAATAATTTTCTCCAAAACATCAAACTGCATTTTGCAAATAAAATCTTTTAAAGGATCAGAGTGGTTTTCAGTTGAAAAAATAGTTCTCATATTATTGAATTTTAATTTTCTCTATTGTGATTTTGGAAAAGTTAAAATATATAATAGAAAAATAACCCTGAACAACTTATGGTTCCGTTCACAAGACAAATCTTTGAGATGCATCAATTTTTTGATTAATCATTATTTTATTTTGTAAAAAGATAAAAAGATGACATTTTAAATATGTATGGATAAAAATATAAATGTATATTTTTTTTTTTTTTTTTTTTTTTTTTTTCATGAAATTTGCAATTGATTTTAAAAATTTGATTCACTTATATTTTTTGAATAAATTTTTTTTATAAATATTTTCATAAATTTTTTTTTACTACACAATTAGGTGTAACTTAATAATTATTTAAAAAAAAAATTATTTTGATTTTTTCTCCAATACTTTTAGATCATTTTATAAGTGTTGCGTATACAGAACATTTGGTTGTTGTGGTCCTTGTTAAAAGTGAATTATTTTATTAAAACTTCTTTTAAAATTTACTCATGGAACCTGAAATACAAGTTCTGGCTACAGGGCTTGGTTACAGCCTGACTGCACAAAGTATACAGAATAAAATCTATTTAGTTTCTATCAAGAAATTTGAAATAAAAACAAAAATAAGGTTCTTTTTTAATGATGACGACCCTAATATCATTGCACCTCAAAAATTTTGGATGTGTCCTTGACTAACAGTTTTATGTCAAACTCAATTTTTGTCAAAAATGGACATAAAGTGTTTCTCAAAGGACTGATTCAATTAAAGATTTGCTATTGGGTGACAAAACCTACCAATACAAACCAATTTTGCATACAACAAACCATGTATCACTTTTTGACTTTTTGCTGAGAATAAACATTGATAAAGAAAGTTTTACATGCATACAACCCAGTTTACCTTGCTGTATACCACTTTTTTATGATCTATCGTAAATACTCAAATCAAATATCCGATTGTGCCCTTCAGCTTGTGGCAGTCCATCAGACGCGTTTTATCATGAACTTATGCAACCTCTTGTCTTATCACTTTCAGTCTATTTTAAAGACACCAACCAATTCCTTTCTATTCATGAACAATACATATTCATCTCACACGAGTTCATGTTCATCACTGCAGATGTCCTCTCTTTATACTAATTATCCACATAACAAAGACATTTAAGCAGTAAAATTTTACATGGACAGGACACCTAATTACAAACTTCCTCATAAATGCCCATCTTTCAACGTCATATCTATTATACTTGATACCATACTTACCAACTCTATTTTTAAGTTCAATGACCAATATTATCAACAAATCCATGAAACTAGAATGGGAGTACGTATGGCTCCACCTTACGCTAACCTTTTTATGGACCGTCTTAATAGTATTATTATCGAGCATTTTTTGATATTTCTTTCATTTTTACAAGCTCCAGGTAAGAACTCCTAATGATTAAGACATTCATAAATGACCTTCACTATCAAATTCACTTTTAAATTACATTTAAATTATTTAGTACAATAATATGTCTTAACTTATCAAAATGCAAAGTTGTTCTGTTTTTGAAACCAACTCTTGATTGTTTCTATAAATACCATAATGATGATTAAAGTTTTAAAATTTTATAATATTCTGATTAAAATTATTATATAACTTAATTATTTCAAAAATATTGATAATTAATAATGAAAAAAATATATTGTTATATGCGTTAAATAAAAATTAAAATAAAAAAGTCTTAAATGCCAGACATGAAACTGCCAACATAAAACTTTTTCTTTTTTTTTTTTATTTATATTTAAATTTAATGCTTATTTCAAATTTATTTAAAAAAATTATATTTAAAAATAAAAATGCAGGTGGTAAGGGTTAACCTTGTGATCTCATAGGATTTAATCTAAAATTATTGTTTTATAAGAGGAGTTAGATGCACCCTAGCGTTTGATGTGAATGTTTTATAAGTGTTATGTAAAATGCAAAAAAAAAAAAAAATTTATCTTTTTAGGTTGAACAATTTGTAATATGCTCGCCTCATGATAATGAATCTTGGAAACATTTAGATGAAATGGTTAATAATGCTGAAAAGTTTTACCAAGCCTTGAATATTCCATACAGAATTGTTGGAATAGTCTCAGGTTCGTTACCAGGTGGTGTGATAAAAATATAATTGATGTTTAGTTTTTGAATTAAATTTCTAACCATCATTTTGTAGGAGCTTTAAATAATGCAGCAGCTAAAAAGTTAGATCTAGAAGCATGGTTTCCAGGGAGTGGAGCGTTCAGAGAATTATGTTCATGTTCGAATTGCACTGATTATCAAGCTCGACGGCTACTTGTTAGATACGGGCAGACAAAGAAAATGAATGACAAGGTTTTTTATTTTGATTTTTTTATTTAATCTTATCAATTAATTGTTTTGATTTTTTTTGATTCAGTTTGATTTTTTTACTTTGAATTTTTTTGATTCAGTTTTGAGTTTTTTTTATTCAGTTTGATTTTTTTTTATTTAATTTAATCAATTTATTCAGATTTGTTTTGATTTATTTACGAAGAAATGGTATTTATATTTTTGTATTTTTATTTCAGACGGAGTTCTGTCACATGCTAAATGCAACTATGTGTGCGAGTACTCGTGTAATTTGCTGTATTCTTGAAAATAATCAAACCGAAGAAGGTATTATTGTTCCAGAGTTGTTAAGACCTTTTATGGGAAATGTAGAATTCATAAAGTATGTTAAAACAGCCCCTATTGAAGGAAATAAAGATGTAAAAGGAAAATCTAACAAGAAAAAACCCGAAAAGATTGAAGAAAATTTGAAAAATTTAGACGTAAAAGAATAAACTTTAAACATTTAGTAATTTTTTTCGGCTTATACTTAAACATTTAGTTTTAGAAAATTGGTATGAATGGTGTTTTTCTATTGTTGTCGGTATTTTTAATGTTATTAGTAATTTGTTTCGGCTTATACTTAAACTATTGTATACGACACCCATTATATATGATTTTTATTAGGTTTTAGTAAAGTAGTAAAAATTATTTTTGAAAGCTATTTATATTTTGAATTTGTTTCTTTATTTATTTTTGGAAGATTTAAGTGTGAACTAAATGCAGAAACTTGCACAAAAAAATATTTTGGAATTACTTAATGCAGTCAAAGTTAGTGTATATCAAGATATAGGCGTTTTGGATAAATGATTCCATTTTTGTTATGTATTCATATGCATGCTTAGGGAAAGACGTGCGATGGCGAACGCGGGGTAGCTTCGAACGTGGTCAAAACAGCATAATAGAAAAATATATTTGAAAATTTACTTTTACCTGTTGAGAGGGAATCCCGTGCTCAGTTCCTAACGTGCAGTAGTGTAATAAAGCTGCGATTGTTGTTCACGATAATTTGATCATATTTTTTTCTGATTATTTCATGCAATTTTTTTCTTGAATAACATTCTTGTTCTAGCTACTATGGATATAAAACTTAAGTTATTAAAACCATCTGCAAAAAAATTCTGCAAATGGTTTTAATAACTTTTTTATAAACACTGGTAAGAACCTAGCAAACAAAATAACTTCAGGAAATAAAAATTTAAAATCATATTTTTAAATTAAATCATAATGAGTTTTAGACAGGAATTATCTTTTTCCGGATATTTTTTTTCAATTTTAAGTTTTTCCGGATATCCAAAATATTTTCAATACATGCAAGATGAGGTATATAATTTTGTAAAATATTTATTTTTTAAGCTTTTTCACTTATCACTGAAACAAATTATGAAAAGTAACAAAAAAAAAAATTAGAAACGACTAAAAGCGAAATTAAAAAGAAAATAAGGGAAAACAAATTCCGGATGTTTTTTCCAAACCATTTTCCGGATTTTTAAAACATGACTAGGATAATCTATGATTTTATATCATGTTTTTAAATTAAATCATAGTGAGTTTGAGATATTGCCTGTTGAACTTCGGTTTGCTTTTAATACGATCAAACCAAACAAAAACGCAAGTCTTGATGGTATTAGCCTTACCGCTAGGGCAAGAGCCCTAACAACCCAATGTTTGTTAAAGAAGTTTTTATTTTTATTGAATAACCTTTTTCTTTTTTTTCTTTTATTTAAGAACTGAACATTTTTGACATTTTGAAACTAGCAAGATTGGTTTTAATATTTAAAGATATTTTAAAAATTGTCTAAGTATAGACCTATTCTATTGCTGCCATGTTTTTCTAAAATTGTAGAACAAATAATAAATGCATCATAAGTATTACAGCTAACTTAGAAATCACAATGTTTCAATAATAATCATTACGTATTTAAAAAAGAGCACTCAAAAGAACATGCAGTAATTAATTTAGTTAAGGTGGTTCATCATCAAAAAAACTGGAAAAAAAAATTGTCTTATCTAATAGAAAATTTTATTCTTTTTCAGTTTTTTGAAAAATATTCTACATATAATTTGTAATATATATAATAAAACAAGACTATCTTAAGTCCATTTTTGCTGTTCTGAGAAAAACGCATTTAAAGTTTTTAATTCATCATTGCGTTTGTTCTTCTCCATTAAACTAAATTGTTTTTAAAATACTTATAGAATATGTTATTATTTTTCATAATATAACAAATATAAAATAAAATTTTAAGTTTATAAGAAGCAAATGGACTTAAGTCTTAAAACTATATTAAATATGTCAAAATTCTACAAATTAAATTGCCGCTGCAAAACAAGACCCGTTTTGCTGTTCTGAGAAAAAGACATTTAAAGTTTTAAATTTAATCACTGCTTCTAATTTTTTTAAATACTAGTATTTATAGTATTTATATATCTACTTGTTTTTAGTTATTTATTTTATGTGTTAAGTATTTTAAACCAAAAAAGTTTTTTTTTTTGCTAAAAAATGGACTTGAGATAGTGTTCTCTTAATTATTTTTTTTAAGACATAAGATATTTGAGTTTTACTCATAGTTGCAAAAGTTGAATCATTTTTGGTTGCATACTTTGTGAGATGACTTTTGTGCACCTAAAGAGTATTTTAAACCAAAAAAGTCAATTTTGCCAAAAATGGACTCAAAATAGTTTTGTTTGCAGCGACGATAGTTAATCTTTTAGTTAGCTACATATACAAATGAGTACTTAGCAACGCCTTAGTTACTGAATTAAAACAACTATAAACTACTATAGCAACCAAAAGCACAACAAGATACAGGCATTATTTCAATGTTTTGTTTTAGTTTTGTCTACCAACTACTGCGCATGCGTTAGTTTACGGCAAAAATGTAAATATTTGCAACTGATCTATATAGTTGATTGGTAAAATTATTTTATGAAGTCTTAAAATTGTTATCATTATTTGAACCTGTTGTGCAAAATATAACTATTTTTATACTGCATTATGGGCTGTATCAACATAAAATGCTGTTGAATAGTGTGCTTGTCAAAGTGAAGTTGCAGTGTTTTTAAAGTTATAGTTATATTGTTTTTCATATTTTAAAGTCTTAATTTTCATATTGTAAAGTAAATAAACGGGAAATGGTAAAAATCTATAATGAAGAAAGAAACATTGCAATGTATTTTATAAAACGAAAGAAGTTAAATCATTTTCTGAAAAGGGTTAAAATCCTCAATCCAATAGCCTGCAAGAAGCTAAAATTAAATCCAGATTACAATCAAGTTTTTCTTATGATAATGAGAATTGTAATATTGTTATGAAATTTAAACTATTAAAGTTTTTCACTAATGACTATTTATGTTGTCCTGTATGTAGGTATGCCGAAAAACGCGTTTTACGGTACCGATTTTTGTGCTAAAATTCTGTTCCATGTTTTTAGAACTTTGCATTTTGTTGGTGTGGTAGAATGGTTTTTTAATGAATAATTTTTTACATTTTTATATTAACATAGAGTATTATTAAAAATTAGCATAGTCAAATTATTTTACAGTTTAGTTATTTTCTTTATTGAGAAACGTTAATATAGAATTTATTGCCATCTAAAACTGTGTTGCATTTCATAAAATTATAATTAAAATAAAACTTCTTTTATGGATGTAACTCTTTATTTGAAATTAATTTTCATACAATATTTCAAAGGATTATAGCTACCCTTGTTGCAAGTATATACATATATATAAATATAAAAAACCGTTAAAAACAAAATCAAAACAAAAACAAATTAATGTAATAGTTTCTTTTCATTTAAATACCGAAACAATGGTTTCCAGTTGTGACGTAACTTGATGAGCTTACTAAATGTTGAAGATATGTTTTTGTTATTTTCTATCCTATTTTTTTGCTTAAACTTATACATTCTCTATAAGCATGCCAAATTTTAAGGCTTTATTTCGATCAGCATATTCCCTATTTTTACCTGCACTTTTAGGACCTATATTATTTTTTTTTATACCAATTTTGGGGAGATAGAAGGGGGAGGAGGAGGTTAGTACGTATTTGTATTTTATTATTTGTTGTTTTCATATAACAAAACGTAATAACATTTTGAAAAATTTTGTTTAATGTTATATAAATAATTTTGTCGCTTCTTAGAAAAAAGATTTAAATACATATTTAAATAAATCTCTTTAGATTTTTGGATAGATTGTTTTAATAATTAAAAACGATATTACATTATTATTTCTTGATATGGAAAGTGTTTTAAGTATATTTACCACAATTGCTATGACTAGCAAAAAGGTATTACAAGTTATTTAAATGTTAAAAAGATTTTTTTTTTTACTGCTATTTATATGCTGAGATTCTTATACTTGTAATATATATATATATATATATATATATATATATATATATATATATATATATATATATATATATATATATATATATATATATATATATATATATATATATATATATATATATATATATATATATATATATATATGTATATATATATATATATATATATATATATATATATATATATATATATATATATATATATATATATATATATATATATATATATATATATATATATATATATATATATATATATATATATATATATATATATATATATATATATATATATATATATATATATATATATATATATATATATATATATATATATATATATATACAGTATTGGACAAAACATTTGCAACCAACATCGAACAATGCTAAAAAGTGTTCCTAATTTTACATGTCTTAAAAACGAAACGAATTATACTACCACAGCAAACAGTTCAGGAGTCTAGAGTCATAGCATGCCATGACATGAGCAATCAGCTGATAGGTGACAGCACACAGGCAGAATTTAGTTCACAAGTGCCATTTTGCAGCGGACAAAACAAGTGCAACCTTTTTGGTGTGTTTTATTTTCATAAGTCTGGTCCGTGTCAACGTCACGGAAGTTTTTGATAATTAAAGGAAGTATCCAGAAGCTTCCAGAAGTTTCCAGAAGCATGCAGAAGCTTCCAGAAGAAGCATCAGGAAGCATCCAAAATCATCCAGAAGTATCCAGAAATATTCAGAAGCATCCAGACGCATCCAGAAGCCTCCAGAAGCATTGAAAAGAAGCATCTAGAATCTTCCAGAACAGGTTCACACAGGTTCATTTTACTATATAAGAGACATGTAAACCGACATGTAATTCAGTCAGTATATGGAAGTCAATCAGTCAGTATTATCACAACAGTTTATCGAAGTGAGTTTTATCAAAGTGTTTTGTTAAAAAACATCAATATAAGAAGTGAAATACAACAAGTGTTTCATTACATGAATACAGTCTACATCCAACCAAGACGTTGTGTTCCACAGAGCATTATTGCATCATCACAAAGTAAATGTAACACGGTAAGCCTTAAGAAGCGTGGTTATTTATTTTTATTATTTTTATAACTTCAAGTGCAAAAATAGCTCCTGACAGTCTTGGATTGGAACTAAGAAAGAAAATTATTGGCGATTACGTAAGTGGAATGTCACAAAAAAGTATTTGTGATAAATATCGCGTGAAAAAATGGACCGTATCAAGATTATGTTCCAAATATCGTTCTACGGGGAAGTTGGCAGCAGATAACAAAGGTGGAAGACCACGTTCCACCACTTCTAAAG